ATTTCTTTTTAAATTACTTGATTTTAGTGATAGGCTTGGTAATATTCGCCTTAGTTATAATGATGGTTGGCTAGAATTGGTAACCTAATTATATATTGCAATTATTTTAGGCACGCACAATGTCTTACGCCTTTGTCGACTTCACACGAGGTCCGTCGCCCTGTCAACCCGCGAGGTAACACCCCCAGGGTTTGCTAGAGGGCAAAGGCTTGTGCAAGAAAGGCTATGCTTTGAGCGTGAGGAGCCTTTGTTTGACTATGCATATTTATTTATGAAACTTTATTTCTTTAATGTATGAAAAAATAATTAGATAACGTTTAACATTGATAATATACGTATGTATATGTATGTACATATATAGGGAAGATGGGTTGTAGATGTATAAGCGGTGAACCATAATTCTTATTTTACGTCTTTTCGTCCTTTTTTTCAATACCGCAGCGAAAATTGGTATACAGAAACTCGAGTAAGCGGGCAGATATAAACTGGAACAGTCTCCTATTATAACCCCGACACGAATAAGTCTACAGGCTGCGCTACCTGCAGTATGAGGAGTTATTTCGCTTGGAGACTCCAATGGCCCTCCCGCTGCTACGTTCCGCAATTTCTCCTACCCCTTTTTCATTCCACAGTTTGCGTCACATATTTGTAGACGCGAAAGGGTAAAGCCAAGATATGTACTTATAGTTATACATTTATGTTTTTTTAAACACTCCCGACGGAACTCGGAGGCCAACCTGCGCGCTGTTTGTTGTCCCTTCGGCCGCGTGCCTACTTATGTAGACCTTGATCTCAGTGGGCTATTTTCCAGACGCGTTATTAATCATTCACGTGCTTAGTTTAAAGAATAAAAGTATAGAAAGGGTCAGGGAAATCGAAATTTTGATAGGGGAGAGATTTCCATATGCGACAGATGAGGGTTGTGTGCAGGCGTAGGGGGGCGGAGAATGGGGCGGGGAGGCGCATTTTTGGATGGAAGTCGGCGTCGCAAAGGGTGGGATTTTAGCCTTAGTTTATGGTATCCGTGAAAAGTGTGGTTTGGAATGTTTGTCGATAAATGGCGCTTGTGGATTAAAGAATATCCGTTTCATTATGTAAACAATACCGCCCTTTTGCCTCATTCGATTGCAATGTAGGTGCGTGGCGCTTGACCCTGGTTCTTGAATTAACCCATAAAGGGTGAATTTCCGATATTACGTCCGTGCACATATTTGGAAGAAGTTGGTGCCTTGGAAATCAAGCAGAGTATGATTACTTGGAGTAAAACAGCTGAAGAGAGATGAGTGAGGAGACCAGGCTCGTCACTGTCAATCCGTGAGGCCGAGAGGGTAGACGTGCATATTTTTTTAACAGTAGGGTAAGCTATATAATGGTTATGTTCTATTGGCATTGACATCTCGTATCAGTCGCTCAGAGGGAGCGTGAGGGCGGCGACTTTCCTTAGGATGCTTATCTACGGATTGCTCCGGCGCTGATGACTCCCCAAGGGCCGAGCGGACGAACTCCTATCGTAGCATGCGTAGGCCTTTCGTCTTCTTTCTTCTTTCTCCTCTCCCCCTTCCCCCTCCCTTTCTCCTTCTCTCCCCTCTCTCCTCCTCTCATTTTCTCCCCTCCCCTCTCCCTCTCCTCTCTTCACCTCTCTCCTTCCTTCTCTTCTTCCTCTCTTCTCGTCTCGTCTCGTCTCTTCTCGTCTCGTCTCCTCTCGCTTCTCTTTCCCTCCCTCCTATCCTCGCCTGCGTGAAGACGTTATCATGGAAAGGGAGAAGAACACCTTCTTTCCGCCGACCCAGCCGTGGGGCCATGTGCTGTCCTCATGGAAGCGGCTGGCCCTCCGAGAGGGACGCCAATTTCGACCCTCGGGCTGTGGTGACGGCGGCAGGTCTGGGGCGGCAGCGAGAGGAGGTCGCCCTGACGATAATGCCAGCCGAATCAGCCTTTCTGTTATTCATGGTCACTTGTCGGGCTGCCATTGCAGCTGTAAAGATGTTTCACACATGTCGATCAATATGTGATTACAGTTGTATCGACCCATTAGTTACTTGAATTTGTCATTAGTGGCTCACCGTGTCTGTCAAACAGCAGATCTATCGTCACGTATTTTTGCTGACGTTTTTTCTTGATATTTGCACTCTACTATTGGTAAAGCAGATTATGGACCGCCATTTGTTCGCCGCAGACAGAGAATCTCATTTGTTTGTGTAAAATGTGTATGCACCTGCAGTAGAGAGAAGAGCCATGCGGATGCAGGAAAGGATTATTCCTGTTTTTCTCAGACTGAACCTATGTGTAATATGTGTTTAGAGAAGCGAGGTGCCGTAATCATTGCGCCCGCCCTGTATCAGCATTTAGTCGTGAATTGTCTGCAGTTTTGCGCCGCGTGTTTGTGTTCTGATTTGTAGATACGTTTTTTGTGAATTTAGTGTTGAGTATATTTTTTCCAAGATGATGTAGCGTGTAGGATTTTTAAAATTATTAATCATAACGGATTTTCGTTTCGCACCAAAGCTTTTATTTCAGTTTCTGTGGTCACAATAGAGTAAAGAATGGTGGTAAATATTGCGTTAGACCGTAATTATAAAGTGTACGTTTGGGAGATGTAGCGGGGATGCATCGACAGTCACCAAAACAGGAAGCAGCGCCGCCACAAGTGTTGATCCAACAGCACCCGCAGTCCCTTCCACGATTCCGTCGCCGCCGCGCAGCTTCCCAGAAGAAGCCTGGCAGATGGGCGCTTTCTCAGGATTGTTCGCCTGGTCCCACGTTGCTCTCAACAGTGCTGTTAGCCGCTGGGAGCAACGGCGGACAGATAGATACGTTCTGTGCCTATGGAAGGTCTGTGTCTAGCAATTTATGACTATCTTAGTAAGTGGAGAGAACTTTACACCATTAAAGTTATTGATATAGCCAAAGTCTGACTCAGTCATAACGATTATGTAGCGGAGATAGGGAATATATATCGAAAAAGTGAACCTTTGATGGTATGGTGTATACCTTGCTTTTTTGAGTTTTAGATTCCTTGGTATTATTTCTGTAACAGATTTTATTCGATAAGATCATGATCAGGAATATTTTAAACATCCATTTAATCTCTTGTCAAATACATGGACCAGGTATTCGCTTTCCCACTATGGGCATATGATATCAGTTTCTTAAGAACGTCAAGCCTGCGCATCTGTCACCACAAATGCCAAGGCCTTCCCGCTGGTTTTGGCGTCTCGTGCAGGGACGTCTCCCGTAAAACGACCGTTTCAGAAATCCGTTAGAAAGATTGTTGAGTTTGGAAAAAAAGTGGCTAGGTGGAAGGTGAAAGTATGCATAGGCTTTTATTGGGATGACGCGACGCGCTACCTACATGAAAGATTTCCAGTAGTGGAACTAATATTTGTTATATCGATGTATTTTTGTGACTTGTGTAAAATATATTTTAGCGCCCGTTGGCACCCCTTCCGCTCACGTAGACTGAGCATGCTTCGTCTTCTAGGTGATCGAGGGAGCCCGCGATTTCAACTGTCTCGGCGAGGACTCCCTCTGCTCTTCCTCCGGAGGCCGAGTGAGGATGCCAGGCGACGACCGCGGGTCCCCCTCATCCCTCACTGACCTGGACTCAGCGCTCGGAGGCTCCGCCGCTTCGCCGGACTCCACCAGGAAGTCGAACAGGTCAGCTCTTGCTCTCCTGCGTCTGTTGCCGGAGGTGCGCGTGGCCATCTGCAGAGAGCGCCCATCGACCTTCAGATTAAATGCTTCTTTTTCTCTGGCTGCACAATGTTTTCTATGAATTGACAATTTTATTATTGTTATTCAGAGCAGTAGCGTGTCCATATTATTTATGACTGGGTTGGCGCACACAACGCTCTCTCTCTCTCTCTCTCTCTCTCTCTCTCTCTCACCTCTCTCTCATCGTCTCTCTCTCTCTCTCTCTCTCTCTCACTCTCTCTGTCCTCTCTTCCTCTCTCTTCTCTCTCTCTCTCTTCTCTCTTCTCTCTCTCTCTCTCTCTCTCTCTCACCTCTCTCTCTCTCTTCTCTCTCACACTCACTCACACTCACTCACCACCTCTCACACACGCACACACAAACGCACCCACACGCACACACACACCACACGCACACACACACACACACACACGCGCGCGCACGCACGCACGCACGCACGCACGCACGCACGCACGCACGCACACGCACGCAACGCACGCACACACAACACACACACACACACACACACACACACACACCCACACACACAACACACACACACACACACACACACACACACACTACACACTCCTCACACTCACTTTCTCTCTCTCCACACTCTCACTTCTCTCTCTCTCACACACCCTAACCCTCACCCTAACTCTCCCTCTCCCTCCCTCCCCCCTCCCCCCCCCCTCTCTCTCTCTCTCTCTCTCTCTCTCTCTCTCTCTCTCTCTCTCTCTCTCTCTCTCTCTCTCTCTCTCTCACACACCAACAACACAACACACACACACACACACACACACACACACACACACACACACACACACAGCACACACACACACACACACACACACACACACACCACACACACACACTCACGCAACACACACACACTCACAGCACACACACACTCACTACACACACACACACACACACACACTCACAATATACACTCACTCATCACTCACTCACTCTTTCACTCACTCACTCACTCACTCCCCCTAGACTTCACCCCTGAACATACTTCCCTCCAAGCTTGCCTAGAGCATGGTCCTTAGGACTTATATCATTGGCAATGGGAAGCTCTTTAGAATGCTAAGATTCTTCTAATTTGACAAGGAAATCCAATGTTGAATTGCATTTACAAGAAAAGCCCTCATATTGGATACATTTTCAATGACTGTTGTTTAGGTGATATATTTTATATTGATGTCATAAGTTTATATTTGTTGGTAGAATGTGAAAAAATCTAATGACTTCTTTTTGATGAAACAGTGGCTGCTCGAGCATGAGTGACCGGGAAGAAGAAAACTTTGAGTGTTACGGCGAGGCTGATGACATTGAGTGTGATTCTGACTCAGCCAGGATGGGGTAAGATAGCCAATTCATAGTCAAATATTGGGACTCTTTTTTGTAATCGGGAAATGTGTATAGAGTATTGTTTATAGGGTTTAATGGATTTGAATTTAAAATAGATTCATTGGTAAAGAATTTTAATCACTACTGGTACTATGTGGTAAAAAATGTTTTGTAATTTATTGGGTAAATTAACAAATTATGGTGAAGTGTATGTCTGAATGTCTCAGGGTTAGTTTTTTCATAATACAAGTTGAAAATGTTGGTGTAGCAGTAATTTGCTAATACATTATATATTTGAGTTACATCACTGAACTAATTAAGTGTTAATAGATTTATTTATTACACTGCTAAAATTATTATGTGCTCTTAATAATGATCAAGTTCCTCCATGTTGACAGAGATGACCTAGATGGCAGTATAAGAAGTCCACCTCATTCTCTACCCCCTAGTAACTTTAGTCGCAGGAATTCCTGGGTTAGAAGGTCATTACGAGGCTCTCCATCCAGGTATATATCGATTGATGACGTGATCACTGCTTGCTAGTAACGGCAGAACAGCATGGGTTGTTGCAGAATGCACATTTTTGGGATTCTCCTTTTCCTGGACTATATCCTAATCCTCCTTCATGTAATGCAGAAATTTATCTAGAAATGTTTGTTAGGATTTTACTTTATTAATTGAATTTGATTGTAAAGTTACTAATTTGCATAAATGTTAAGTAACAAAATAATATGTAATTTAAGCAAACTTAGCTTCTTGATCTTTCTGCTTTATCTGATGGGAGCTCTGCTTAATGTGACAAAAAAATGCCTTTGGCATTATGAAAATATCTAGAAGTAAATTATAGTTATATGACATTTGTTTTCCTTATTCATGAAACACTCATCATTGACAGCATTTTTTTGTCAAATGCTAGATAATCAAGATCTTTTCCTATTTCAGAATTAACTATTTTTACTTGCATTTCATCTTCTTTCTTGTATTAGGCATATGTGACATCTTGTGGATTTTTAACTAAATTGAATTTCTCTGGTTTGTAGCTTGCTTTTTGTGTTCTCTAAATGTGTTTGTTTTTACATATACTTGTTTATGTGGTGAACTGACAAAAAATGTAGCAAGGGGTAAAAATTATATTTGGAGATGGTAGATCTAATGATTATGTTTAAGCTTGGGCAAAGTAAAAAGTAAATTGTACTTTTACTCTTGCACAACAGTAAAATTATAAAGTAATGAAAAGGGTAAAACTGAATGCCCCAGAACATTTACAAGCTTCACATGCATGCAAAGTGTGTTTTTTAGAAACCTAATTTATCATTAAATTCAAAACTTTTATTTAAGCACTTTTGAAATTTATCCTAAGCTGGAGTAAGAAGTATGTTGGAATATTGCAGGATTGTTGTGAATGTAGAACCTACCATTGCTTTTGTTTATTAAAATGCTTTTATATTTACAATTTTGGCTGTAGGGTAGTACCATATATCTAACAAAGTCTCTTTTCAGTATTTACTTAACCCTTTTTTGGTTTTGATATTCATTTAAGAAATATGATTAGCTTTACAGTATTCAAGTTGATTAATTTTCCTTTTTCTTGGATTATACCTTGTATTTTTCTAATGCACTTATAGCTAGTTTCATTTTTAGCACTGCTAGAGAATATTCTGTAGATTCTTATAGAAAATCTGAAAACATGAGGAGAGGTAAAACACCATCAAAGAATCTTGTTTCCTGCTTTTCTTATATTCAAATACTAAGGATTTATTTAATTGTACAATTGATGTCAGTTGTCAAGTGCTCCAGCTAATTCTTTGTTTATAAAACACACACTTGATAAAATGAATTCTTTTGAAGAGATAACTCTTCAGTTTCCTCAATGAGATGTTTATTTCTCTTCTATAGCGCACAGGAGAAAATCGTCCCTCCCCGACGGTGGGGTTCCTTCAGACAGTAAGCACCTAGCTCTCTTTATGTATCTGGTGATGGCATGACTGACAGTGTTTTGGAACACCTGCTTTTTATTCATTTAAATTAGATCATCTTCAAATTGTCTCTGTAGGCTCACATATTTATGCACTTAACCTCTACGATCCAGATAACGTGACCATCATGTCATGAAAAATATGTTGTGAGTGGCGGCTGAATTGAACATGCCCTCATGGGAGAATATTGCTGAGGGCCAGGGTGACATGACCTTACCATCATGAGCATTTCAGCATGAGGGTACAAAGCTCTTGGAGGGTGATTAGACTCATTTCCATCAATAAATGAGTGTGGAATATATGATCCATGAGCCATGACTGGAAGATCATTGGTTCCAGGGAGGACACTATATCCATGCCCAGGATCTTATTCCTGGCTGCCTTGACTGGCAAAGCAGGTTGTTTTGCAGAAAATTGAATATTAAGAAACAAAAAAGAATTGCACAAATAACAAAATGTTACTTATTATTATTATTGTACTGAGTTATTGACTACCTCGAGAGATGATATGGAGTCTGTAAAAGGAAAACGGTCTATTATTATCTGGACAAATATAAGGAATGAAAAGCTAAGAATGCATATACAGAAAAAGGGGAAATAACATTGCAAAGGGAAGGCACTGAGTATTGACACTGCATCTGAATGTTTGCATTTGCCTGGCCTACAAGCCATACACCCGTCAGAGTGGCTGCTCAAGTAAGCCTGTCTGTATTTTGGGTCACATGAAGGCAGGGAAACAGCTGGATCCAATGGGGTGAATTTCTTATAACATTTATATATATATATTATATATATATATATAAATATAATATATATATATATATATATATATATATATATACAGGCAGAAAACCATGTATTAGTTTGTGTAGTTTATGTTTTATATTGATATAATATCCTTTATTTGTTTATTTATTTGTGTTCAGTTAGCCACCTATTACTCACCTATCACCTATTTTTTAATGCCATTTTAACATTTATAAAGCTGTTGTAGTACTGCAAGCTATCAGTAAAAAGGAACTCATGATGAAAGTGATAAAGTAATAGTTTGATGGAAATTAATTCCTCATCGAGCATGAGAAAGATTTAAGGATGTTACTTCTCACTTAATTGTCAATAATGCCTAGTGTATTATTAGTAAAGCATGATTTCCAGTAAAACTTAATGAAAAGGGGAGGGTTAAATCTCACTAAATGTACCATAATTATCTTTCCACAAAAGTAAGTGCACACCTTTTTCATACCAGGTATATTTGGATATGATAGATTTATACAATATTGTATTATAAAAATTAATGTTTCATTGTGGGAAAGAAAGTAACTGGGAGAAACATTCTGTAAATAGAAATAGCAGTTTATTTTCTATTTTGTGAATTAATTTGATAGATGTTTTATCTTCAAAAACCAATCTATCACTGAAATGTATTTCTCATCCTTATATTTAAATTAGGATATGGGCTGGTCGTGTCAATATAATATATAAATGATGTTTACCACTGTAATAGAAAAAAGACACAACTCTGCTAGAATGTGCTCCATTGTTGCAAATTATTGCTAATATGCATACCTCAAAACTTGACAAATTTCAGCTATCATGCACAAAATTTAATGCTTCAGTTATTTTGAAATTATGCAGACAGTATACTGGGCATTACCCCAGTTTTGAATAGTTATATTATTGGCTGTTAATGGTCAGTGATTGGTCACTGTTTTTGATCTTGCCACTTAATGAGCAGTACAGATTGTTGACAAGCCATGCATAGGTGAGCGAGTGTTATCAGCAATGGGTTACATTCTGAGTGTGTGAATTCTGACTGTAATTTCTTGGATAATCTTTACCAGATAGAAATGGAAGTTCTAAAAATAACGTAAAGGCCAATGAGCCCTCTGATGCCAATAAGTAAACCTGTCAGCCCACTCATGCCTTCATTCAGACCAAAAGTAACTCTGACAGTCTTTCTTGAGTAAATGTAGCTGCAATTATGTTGTTTTATGTTCTCAATAAATTTAGCCTTTATTTTGTTGTTTTATGTATGCAATGAAATCATTTATTTTCTTGATTTATATTCTATGTTTGTTACTTGTAATATTGCTAATGATGTAAATGAAAACAGCCACAATGAGAACTGAAGAGGAACTCGTGACGAGTTCGAAGCATTACATTTATTCTCATTTTCATCTTTGTGTACATGTTTCTGTGTTTGTGCTTGTGTTCATTGCTAATGATGTTAGGGCTGTCCAATAGAGAATATGTGAAAACGATATGTGGGGAGATCCTCTGCACAAGAATTTTTTCTTTCTTTTATAGCTAATTTTAGATGTGAAATTCAAACACATATTGTCTACCTGTTTCTTCTACTTTTGTAGCTTTCTCTCTCTGTCAGGGTTTTGTTTTCCCCTGACTTTGGTGGGTTATGGAGACACAATTCTGCTTTGGCTGTTTATTCTGAAGAGGTGGTAGCGTGGCGTGGCTGTCTCGTGCAAAGGGGGAGTCCCGGGCAAGGTGAGCCCAGGTGCGCGCCTAGCGGTAACGCGCATGGGGAGAGCCCCAAGGAGGAGGTCTGGTCAGGGCCGTCACCCCTGGTCAACTGTCTTGTAGCGTTGAAGAGAGAGTCAGGAGTCCATAACGTTGGGGACGTGGGTCGCTAACCCTCGTCCCTCAGATCGCTAGGCATACGCTATCAACCGTCGTCCCCGACGGCTGGTGCTGGAGTTCTCTGAAAGAAGTACACCAGAGGCAGAGACAGGGAGAGAGACAGGAGGGCCAGCAATGGGGGGGGAGGCTGTGTGATAGCAAGGGCCGTAAAATATAACCAAACTATATAAGATTGCAATGAGTGTTATTTCAGTTATTTGCAAGAATTTTCTATTTCTATTTATTTTTTCCATTAATTCACTGTCCAAGGATGGACAGAGGAACATGCTTAGGGAGACAATTGCAATAGTCCGCAAGGACTTGCTTGAGTTGCAGTTGCCTCAGATAGCAGGAGATGAAGATCTACAAGAGATAGGCATTGTGCAGAACTACAAGGAAGCAAAAGTTGTTGCAGTTCGCAAGAACGTCTTGAACGACTAACTTCCTTGGGAAAGAGAAATAAGAATGCAACAATGCAGAGTTCAGTAGTGAGCAGTGCAATGGTGCATACAGTATACGCCTAACTAATTGAAATTGTCTATCACACGTCAACAACAGAGATTCGAGGCAAAGCGATAATGAAAACGGGTAATGCAGTCCTTATACTTCGGGAGCGACTCATTACATCAAATATTCTTTCTCAAGACAGCATAGACACGATATCTTCAAGATAATATCGGATAATAAACCTATGAATCACAAGGACAGAAAAGATCAGGAAAACAGGTCACTCGCGGTCAAAATGTGATCATTGAGACAAGGGTAGGTCAAATGAATGATTACATGTGACAGATTTTACGCATTCTTTTAAGATTTTGTTTAAAAGATATAATGTTGTAAGTAAACATCACTACAAAAAATAATAATTCAACGCTAGTGGCCTTAACAAAATTATTGAAAATAGGTACGAGAGCGAAGGGAAATAGCGGGGGGGGGGGTATGGGAGAGGGAGGGTAGGAGACAGCGGTAGGTGGGAAACGTAGGGAAAGAGGCGTTTGTTTGTGCATAATTCCACAAAGTTATTTAAATACTCAAAAACATCCCAGAAATGCATAATCAAACCGTGCCGAAAAAATGCACTTAATAATAATATACGAAATTAACGTCGATATAGCGTCGCTTAATACAATGGTAGATAATAAGAATAAGATAGGTACCAAGAATATCACAATACTTATACCTCTAGCCGCGTGGCTTAGTATAGTTCACCCACATATTAAAATATCGAGGGATAGACTACGAATCTATGCATTGATTCTAGCATGATCGAGTTACATTAAAAAAAACACGCCAAAGAAAGAAATGACTCGCAAGTGATAAAAATGGGGATTCATTACCTGAAAAAGATGACGATTTACCATGACGAAAAAAACATGGTAGATACTAGAAAAAAGGAAAGAAAATGCACTTTGCACGGACGCTTTTTCAGATATTTGAAACAAATCACTGCATTTGTGAAAAAATCGTACGGCATGCACACATAGGCGAAGAAAGGTGAAAAAAAGAACTGCCCACGGTATACTTACAATTTTTCGGAGGTGCATCTTGTAGTTCGTGTCGCTGCTGCATAGAGCGACATACCGCCGTCTGTCACCAGTTGTCAGGGTTATGTTTTCCCCTGACTTTGGTGGGTTATGGAGACAATTCTAGTTTCATCCTTTGTTGGTTGACCTGGCTGGTAGCGTGGCGCGGCTATGTTTAGTGCTGTGCAGTTGTGGGCAAAGTGGAGCCCAAGGGCAAGGTCTATATAAGTACTTATATAGACCTTGCCCAAGGGCGCATCAAGCGTGAGTGCGCATGGGGAGACTTGGTCAATTGTCCTGTACCGTTGAAGAGAGGGTCCCTAATGTTGGGGACGTGGGTAGCTAACCATAGTTCCTCAGACTGTCCTCTCTCTCTGTCAGGGGTTTTGTGTTGCCCTGATTTGGTGGGTTATGGAGACAATTCTGGTTCAGCTGTTTATTGATAGGATTTGGCTGGAAGGTAGCGTGGCGCGGGTTATTGTGGGCAAGGAAGCCCAAGAGGGGCGCCGAGCGGGGAGCGCCCCCAAGGAGAGGTGTGGTCAAGGCCGTGGGCCCCGCTCAAGTGTGCTGGGTCAACTGTC